CCCACAGGATCCCCCAGTCGCAGGTGGATGAACCCCAGGCAGAGCCGACCTTTCCCGGCCCGACACGCCCTCTGCATAGTCACTGCATCACGCGTGTGCCCACACCTGTTTTCCCAAGCTGTGCCCTGCCAGCGGGGGGGCGTAGGGGGAACCCACTCTCGGTGTAGTGAGCGCAAAGGAAGCCCCTCTGCCCGCCCGGCCAGGCGCCACTCTGAGACTATGACCATGCTGTGTCCCACCTCCCCGGCAGGTCCCCCCGTGGACGTCGGGATGCGGATCGATGTCGCCAGCATAGACATGGTCTCCGAAGTGAACATGGTGAGTGGCCTCGGGACGGGCTCGCGGCCGGGCTTACGCAGATACCAAATGGACCGGTCCCCGTGTCCTCTGCGTTTCATTGGCGGTCATCTCGCCCCGGCCCGGGGAGTCCCAGTCCGCGCGCGCTCCCCACGCTGGCGCACACACCCTGTTGCCCCTGGTTTGTATTTTCAACACACACGGGCCACTGCGGTGTTCCGGAGGAAACGTGCTCGGCACTATTTGGGGAAAGACTGGTGACTGGCGGCGCGGTGGGTGGGGCGGAGTCTGAGCGCTACTTCAGCCCGGCTTCCTCGGCGTTCGGATGCCCAGGGCACCACCTGCCGGCGGCCGGGCAGCCTGCACGCGGGGCCTCGCGCGGTGGTCCGCAGCCTCCCTTCGCCAGGTCCGGCCCCGCAGCCCCGGAGCCGGACAGACCCAGCCCCGCCACCCAGCCCTCAAACTCCCAGATGAGGTTTCAGGGCGTCCCATCCCTTTTTATAGGCTCTAGCGCACCCTGTGGCGGAGCAACAGGCTGAGACCACAGCCCGTGCTTGCTAATAGGAAAGCGCTCGGGCCAGCTTCTGGGGAGGCTTGCGCTGCTCCCATGTGCGGGTGTCTGAATTTGTCTTGCTGCATCTTGCCAGTTTCAGATGAAACAGAATGACTCGAGTTATTGCTTTGTTTTACCCTAGGAACTTAAGCACGCCTAAGAGGCCTGATGATTCAAGGGACGGTGGAAGGGGGTGGGGGGAGAGCAGCGAGACCCTTCCTTGTCTCAAAGGGTTAACATTCTATTGTTTCCTTTTTTATCTCTCTTCCCGTTTGGAAGCTGTTGCAAAAATGGATTGAAATCATAGCTGTCGCTTTCTCTATTGGCTGCTTCCAGCCACTGTGAGGTAGCAGTTTGCTAGTTGCTAGAGTTTCTAACTGTTGCTTCTCACCAGAAGCAGGCAGGGGGGAAAGCCTGTTGCTTTTCTAGAACTAACCACCTAGGGAACAGCTAGATCTACGTGAGCATCAGCTCATTTTTTTTTTCTGCTTGCTGAAATTTAGATAGCCTGAATAATTTAAAGAATAAAATCTTTAGGGATTTTATCCCTTTATAGTTAGTTGTAAAGGCTATTGAATTGTCTTTTCATTTTACTACTAGTGTGTCATTTTATTTTAACAGGATAAGGTTTAAGTTTTTTTGTTGTTTTTTTTTAAGATTAGGACAGGAAAGAAAAATATAATCTGTTGAATATGATTATAATAGAAGTGTGACTATTAAATTTCTGTATTTTACAGTTCTACCCAACTTTATTTTTTTCTTTTTAAAATTGATTTTTCAATTACAGTTGACATACAATATTAGTAACATAGTGACTAGGCAAATATATGCCTTAGGAGGTGCTCACCCTGATAGTAACTTACCTGGATTTAAATAGTGTTTTTAAAATAAGGTCTCTAGTTGTATTGGAAAAAGAAAAGCAACTTTTCAAAAGTAATGCACAATGAATATTTTCTGACAACAAATATTTTTAATAGACTGACTTATTTATAATATTCTGTTTGCATACATGTCACTAAAATAAAGCAATCCAAAACACAATGTTTACAAACACTGGATAATATAATAACATGTATACATATACAAATCATACCCAACCCATGCTATTGCAGCTAAAGACATGAGAGTAAAACAAGTTGTTTGTATCATGTAATAATATTTTTATTCTTTTATTTTGGCACCTTGTAAGTACCCCCATAGATAATTTATAAAATAGGACAAGATTAGGAAAGCTCAAAAGGGAAACAGTGCCTTTGCCAGTGGTTAGTCTTCTGTATAGCATATTATACTTTTCAGAATTTTAAAAAAATGTATAATTCTATTGACTATATTTACAAACATCTTTTCAGGTGTTTTTTGTTTTTTTGTTTTTAATTTGTCTTGAATTGGAAAGTTGCTATTAACCAAAACAACCACCACAAGAGAAAAAGCTCTGTATAACCAGTTGTTCGACTGAATTCATACATAAGCTCAGAAAAATCATTTAATTGCAGTGCCACTGGAAAGAGCTCCTCATGATGGAATAACACAGCCTATTTACTCGCCGCACCATGTGTATATGTACTTGATTTTTAAAAATATTCCCCAAGCAGATAAATCAATGAGAGATACATTATACTAAAATATGCACCACCTTTCCACAGTCGCGTTAGAGAGAGATGGGAAATGAGAAGCACTAGCACTGAAGGAGTAAAACTTGGTTAGCTTACTCCTTGTTTCCCCTTTTAATGCGAGCTACCAGCAGGACCCAAGGTTTATTTTCTCTTCTCTCATCCATGGCAAAGCATCACAATAAATAGACTGGAAATAACTGCAAGAAAAATGGAAACAAAGAGGAAGTTTAGGATTGAGGGTGTTGTATAAACACAGCCTGCATGGTTAGCCCTGGTGAAGAGAATGGTCTATAATATGCTTTGGTTTTTAGATAATGTAAGTAGGGGTGGAATGTCTGTGGGAAATACTAATTGCTTCTTTTATTAATCATGTTTTAGTGGCCTGATAGACAGTAACTTTTGAGGTTATTTAATAGGAAATTTTCACCAAAGTTAATTTAAAAAATAAGAATGGACAAAGAATATAATAAAAATAGCTTTAAGGAAAATTTAGACTAAAATTTGTTACTAAAGCTTTGCTCATTTTTATATTCTTATTCATTATCCACCCATTCCATGGCTGGGAAAATGGCGTGATAATTATGCATTCCATTAATGGGTTCGAAACTAGGTTATGTTAATTTTTGTTATTAATATAATTCTATATTGGTTTATAGCATTGTCTGTTTTAAAGACTAGCATAGCATCAAAAGTATTTTCTGATTTATATATTTCAGGATGGAAGATATCTTTCCAAAATTAGGAAGTAAAATAGACAGCTTTTACAGTCAAGGATCTCTACTATTGAGAATCGTAGTTACTGAGCAGTGAATGCAAACCTCTGATGCAGAAAAAATAGAAAAAAGATACTTAAGAGTAAGGTTGTTGTTTTTTCAAGCAAGGATAGTATTGATTGAATTAAGAAGGATTTTTCTTCTGGTATCATGTGATATATTGTGTATGTGACAGTGATTATAAACAATCACTGTCATTTTAAAAAACCACTGTGATTTCCATTTATTGTTATATTAAGCCCTTCAAACCTCTCTTAACAATTTCTGCCAAACCATATACCTACACACAAAGCACTCTCTAGAGTGACTAAAGATGAACAGAAGGCAGTTGGGACAAAAAAGAGACAGTAGCCCCCCCCCCAAAAAAAAAAATTGTCTCAAGTAACTATCATTTGCTGATATAAACCCAGTAAAACATAGATAACGATAAGCAAGTCATCCCTTTGTGGTAGACTGGGGAAACATGATATTAATTACATGCCAACAAGTGGTTGAACTCTTGTATTTCAGATTTCAAAGACTAGTCTTTCCTTCTTTTAAAGAGGTGGCTTCTGATGATAGAATTGGACCTTCAAGCACAGAGCTCCCTATCCTTAACCTAAAGACACTATGGTCCAAGCGACCACTCCCAGAAGATGTTACATCTATTGAGTCCTAACTTAAAGTAGCCATTCCCAGTAATAGATAACTAACATGTATTTATTTTTTCTTCATGCATGGATGGATGTAACTGAATGCTTTTATAGGCATTACAAATAACAATGAAAACAAACAAACATAAAAAATGAAAACGAGCCAATCGTATAAATAATGCCTAAAAGAAAAGCAAATGTAATTACAGGGCCAAATACTCAGTGTCATTAAAGACCACTGTTGCTGCTGTTGTTATTTTAATATTTGATTCCAGGTTTCTGATACACACTTAGTTTATCTCTAATTACTATCATCTTGGTAACACAAAACAGTAACCACCTGTCAGAATCCCTCCCTTCCCCACTCATTTCTTCAAATCAGTGTTTCTGAATCTTAAATGTGTCTATGAATCACCCTGAAACCTTAAAAAGGTTAGAATGCAAATTCTAAATCAGAGGTTTGGGGTGGGGTTGGACATCCTGCATTTCTAACTCCCAGGTGATGTGGCTCGCTGGTATGTGGACAGCACTTTGAGTAGTAGGGTTACTTTGAGTAACCCTAAGATTTAGGGTTATTAAGAAATGAACATCTTTTTTCTCTTAAATTTCTCTAGGAATGGTATTATTCCAAGGTTCCAAATTAAGTGTCAAGTTAATTTCCAGGTAGTTAAACAGGTAGCTTTGGTACTTGATAAGCAACAGGACAAAGGCAAGAGCCTGGATAATGGGGCTTGACTTAGACTAATAAGCAGTCCTCCTAACTGTGTCAATACTTATGAGTCAGCCAACCTTAAATGATGGCTATGAAAATATTGCCAAGCACTGTCACTCTGACAGTATTATCCTGCTGCTTTACAGAACACCAATGACTTCTCTTCTTCAGAACAGAGAACATTGCAAACTGTTTTTGCCCCCACGGAGGAGCTTGCAATAGCTTTGTAAAATAGCCTAAACATACTCTTGCTGCTGTCAGTAAGTCCTCTGAGGTTATAATAGGATTCCTTTGCAAATTGCATAAGTAGGTCAGTACCATTTAAAGGTAGGAACAGATATCAGCAGTTAAATAAAGACATAAATACATATTTCTCTTATATGAGTAATAGACCAGGTCTCATTTTTAGGTGCTGGGTTATAATATTATACCATCTGGAGAAACTAAGAGAGGAAAACTTCCCTTTGCCTTTCTGTTTGGAGATAACAGAAATATCTTTTTATACCTTAAGCCACATCAAAGCAATCCTGTCCAGATTTTTAAAAGTTTGAGTACACATTTAAAATCCTGTGTTCTTAGGATTACAAGGCCACACTAGCTATTAAAATGTATAATACAATAAAAATAAATAGTAATATTTATTGCACACATCCTATGTATAAGGTATGGTTATCAAGTAGTTTTTTTCTTTTTGTATTAGTAGCTCATTTAATCCTTGATTTAAGGCTATGCAGTTAT